TCCTAGATATACAGCACTAGGCATATATAGCTACAAGTTTACAGGTGAGTTTGCCTCCTTATACTAGTATGTTTTGTATCTGTATACAGACGAGCACTTATTTATATTTAGCAACAATTAGAAGTGAAACTTTTGTAATACAGCATCTGAAATGAAGATTGCACTCATGGAAGAAAACTATTTAAAAAAAAAAAAAAACAAAACTTGTAAGTTCACACAGAAGTATTTATTATAGAAGTTTCTTCTGATGCATCTGAATCAGTCATGGAAACCCTTCCTCGCTCTCAAGCACATTCATTCCATGTAAATAAGTTTGATGGGAAATCTGACACATGGGATGTGTGATTCCTACTGAAGTTCTTCAAAACTAATGGTGACTGTACAGGATGCAGGTAACACTTCTGAGTTGCTTGCAGAATTGGTGCACTTCACACGAGCTGTGCAATGAGCAGAGACTGCAAAACGATAAAGTGTAAAAGATCAGGATGTGAGGAATTGAAAGGTTTTCATCTGAGTGCTCCTGTTTTGATTTATTCTGTTCTTAACTATGATTTTAAAATATCAGTAAATAGGGTTAATTAATGAGGATTGTTGTTATAGCAAATTAACATAGTCTATAATTCTGGTAAGGCAAACAAAATACCATATATGATGTTAACAAACTTATGTAGTTAACAAACATTTGTTATTCTTTTCCTTTAATTTGAATTTCCAAAGCAAAATTCTAAAAATTTTGGCTGCATTTAAATAATGTACATGCATTAAAGGGCTGTTGGGGCATCTCTTTCAGCTCTTTAAAACCTGTGATGATCAGCTCCCCTCAACTTCTTCAAAGCATCATTTACATACGTTAGTGTGCAGTTCACCATGAGATAAGCTGCCTTGGGTTGTGTGTGGCTTAATGTGTTGGGAGAATGTTTGCTGAAAGCACCTCTGGCATTTTCGCATCCTCCCTGAGCAGCTGCTGACAGCAATTTCTTTAGTGGCATTTGAGTAAGATAGAAAACTGGATCTGCTACTCAATTTTAATGTTAAGGAGGAAGTTTCCAATCGCAGTAAATGATAAGTGGTTTAATCTGTGTTATCCCTGTATGAATGCTTTTTAGATTTTGTTCATAGCAGCTATTTTTCTAATTGTTTTTCTCACTTTAGAGTTCCTTTAATTAGTAATGTACTGTAAGCATCAGTTATCTGTCAGGGATTGCTTACATAATTCAAAGCCCTATCCTAGATGAGTAACAGCACCTTCAGAGATAATGAAATTTTCCTACCATGTCATCACCTATGTTAATTTTGTTCATGCATGTGTTTGTGCGTGAGGGACAGCAGAACTGATCTGAAACCTTGAGTTGTTTGGAAGCTGTCCCAAAAAGCTGGTTGGAAAGGACCACAATGCTCATCCAGTTTCAACCCCCTGCTATGTGCAGGGTCACCAACCAGTAGACCAGGCTGCCCAGAGCCACATCCAGCCTGGCCTTGAATGCCTGCAGGGATGGGGCATCCACAGCCTCCTTGGGCAACCTGTTCCACTGCATCACCAGCCTCTGTGTGGAAAAACATATGCAAGATGTTTCATTATGAGCATAGCACATAAATATTGTCCCCAAACTGCTGGATTTTCTTGATGGGTTTTTGAATGTGTCTCTGCCAATACAAATCACATGCATACGGCTTGACTGAGATTCAACCAATAGGAAACAAAAATTACTGTATTTTTTTCAGGAAAGTTGAAGTCTGTCATGCTTGTTTATGTTCTGCCTCTGTTTTTTCAATTAAACTGAAGTGAATGTGAAGTAGCTAAATTTCATCTAAATTCACACAGCTGAGGAAGCCCATGCTTGCTCTTTCTCTAAATTTTCACTGAGGGGCTTTTATCTCCCCCTAATCCCACCATTTCTGTCAGGACATAATCTCTTTCTCAAATTTACATTTTAATTACAAGGCCAGCTGAACTAGCTAAAATCAATAATGTCAGCATTCAGCAGCCTAACTTCGGCTGAAACCCCAGCCTCTCTCTTTCCTTCTATCGATTTGTCTTGAGAATACGCTCTACTTTATTGCCTCAGGCAAATAGATGCCATTTGGTCAATTTAAACAAAAAGGGGGACTTGAACATTTTTATGATTTTTTTCTGAAAGCTGCCAGTGGAACAATTTGAAGCCAGGTACTGTGCTTGTGTCAAATAAAATGCACAGAACAGCAGAGTTCTTAAGAGGAATTTTACTTGTAAAGCTGCACTTAATTCCATCTGCATTTTAAAAACAAAGCAACGGAAAAACCAACCCTGATATTGAGATGGCACTGTCTGCATAGTGGCTCTTCATCTCGTTAGCAAGAACTGATTTTATGAACAGATGAAAAAAATCCACGGTAGAGGTGGTGTTAGCAGTGTGGCAATGTATTTACCTTTAGCTGTTTTCCTGTTAATGGTTTAAAATAAGAACTCAATGGGAAAAATAGTTTTTCTTGTAGCTCCTAAGAATTCTTATATAGATCTTTTGAGTGTGATTTTATCTAATTGTCAACTTGTCCATTTGTCTCTCTTTTTCTGTGTTGTTGAGTGCCTGCCTCTGCTGTCCCCTGCTGAACAAAATCAGTGTATTAATGAGTGGGCAATTCTGCTTCCATACGTATGATAGGAAGAAAATTGAATAGAGCTAGGATTGTCTGAGAACTTCTGGTGTATGTGCACATATCTCTCTGAAGAGAAATAGAGATGTGGTGAGAGATGCACACCTGGTAGCTTTCATTTAAAGATTACCTGTATACAGGATACTCACGCTTTCAAAACCTTTGCTTTAAACAATCCTTTGCAGAAAGATATTCTTGTTCCTTAACAAAAAAAAAAAAAAAAGGCATTTTACGTGCTAGATGCAGTCTAAGCAATTTTGCTTTACAGATACAGTCTGCCGCACATATTTTCTGAGCTAACCTTGCACATGCCAAATGTTGTGTTTGCTTGTAATGGTTTCTAACATAATGGGAAGTTTGCTTGTCTAAATCCTGACAGTTCTAGGGACAGTCTTTTGGGTTAATTCTGTCTCACTTTGATCATTTTGATACAAAGCACCCTAGAAGGGCTTTTTGCTTTTTACACGATGGCAGAAGCTGAGATGCAGTCCTGTCCTTCCCCTTACCAGTTAGATAAATTCAAGCTTATTCCCTTCAGTGAAATATTAAATGTTGAGACAAAATATTTCTGTGGAGGTTCCATCAACCCTTATGAATGGCAAGTCTACAGCCTAGTAAACATGAGATCATTTCTTGTTAGCCTAGATGTTCCTTTGCTTAGTTCCAACTATTCTGCTTAATTATCACTGCTGCTCCTTCTGCTGATTTTCAGGCCGTTTTCCAATGTACAGATTACTTTTTTAAACAATTGTAATTCCTTTTTAAGCAGTGTTCTTTCCAGCCTTGTTGACTTTGGGAAACAAAGTAAGGTAGCAAGGTGAATGTGACACATTCGTTGCTTTCAGTAGAGAAGGTGATGTGAGGATGACTGGGTAAGGAAGGAGCACTGATATGCTCATCAGTGGCATCACCAGCGGCGAGAAGGCTTTGTCTGTCTGCAGCTGGCAGTCCTGCAAGGCTTTCACTGGACAGTATGTGTTCTATTGTCTTGAGGTTTGCTGAAGTCTTTGGCCTCATGGTCTCAAGTTATGAAACGTTTAGTTAACTGATGATTGAGTGGCATGCAGGATGCGCTCAGTGTGTACTTTGTTACTGCAGATATTTAAGAGAAAGGAAGCATGCAGTCGGCCTTGGGTACCTTCTCTGACATATCTTGGGATGTACACCTAGATGGTCTCTGGCAAATTCCACGTGAACTTTTCCTTTTCTAGTTGTTATCTTCTGAAATATTTGATGATTAAGTAAAGCAAAGCAAGATTACTTATAGATACAGCTTCAGGGCTCACTGGAAGTGAACAGAAAGAAGAGGCAGAAGGAATGTCCCATATCAACAGTGGCTAAAACTTGTTGGGTGAATGCAGGTTGCTTTCCTTAAGAAGTCTGAGGTATTTCTCTGGAAACTTTAGTCTGAAACTATGACTACTTTTGGTTGATAATTTTTTGGGGAAGATGTTATTTCAATCTCTTCTATGAAAAAGCATTCTGGAAGGGAAAACATTGTCTGTTACATAGGTGTGAGGAACCACATCTCTCCATTGCAGCTGCTGTTGGCTGAAAAGTTCTCGTTACTGCTGCCAGCTAATAGAGTTGCTTCAGCTGGTAGCAGCATGTGCTATTCAACTGCTTGGTCTATCTAATTGCATCATTACTGTCCATGCTGACTGACTAATCAAGCTGTATGAAGTGATTAAGTCGCCCCACCGCTGAGCTGCTGTTGCTGAGCTCTGCCTGAAGCTGCCTCGCAGTGGGTTTGTTCCTCAGGTGTCACTCATGCGTTTATTGTCCCTTCAGAGCACTCTGTGGCTGTACTGCTGTGCTTCTTAGATTGTTTATCTTGGCATGTTGTGTATTTTAGTATCTGTGAAAGAAGAAAGTTGTCTAGATAATGCTGTTTGAGGATGTACTTAGGAATTGAAACTGAATTGTTATTTGATGTAGTGTTAGTAGCTCTTTCATTCCACTTTACCTTGATGTAACTGTGAGTATAGAAATGACATCTTAGCAAGATAGACACTTGTGACACTAGAAACCTGCATACAGAAAGCAATATATCCCATTTTAGACTAACATATATTGTTAAAATTCCTTTTTCCAAGACGAAGTAATGCCATTCTTTGCTTTCACATGATGTCACACGAATTTAAAAGTTTGTTTGCTGTCATTAGCTTCTCAGTATGTTTCTGTTTCAAAATCCAAAATAGTAAAACATTGTAGACAGAAATACCACTGTGTATGAGTGGGATTGATATCTAACGTGAATTGAAAAGACTGCCCCTCTACAAGTGATGGCATTATGAACTGCTTTGGCCCTGCTGTGAAGCACGGAGGGCAGGGGAAATGAACTCTCTCAACACTGATTTCTTTTTCAGGCCTTGAGCCTCAGTCACCCCCAAAAGCACCAGCAAGGAAGGCTCCTGCAGGACCAGCTCCGTTCAGCTCCCGTGCCCGGCTGAAAGGGAATGAAGATGAACTTGATCCGACTTGTGCTGCTGCAACATTGAAGCTTATCAGAGACAAACTACAAAAATTAACACCTCCACAGGCCAGGTTATTTTTATTCAAATTCTTAGGATCCATAGGAGCCTCTTGCTCTTACTTGTATTTATTAATAAAGCAAGCACAAAGAAGATTGCAGGAACTGAGCATACTAAAGGTTTAGGCTGCCTTGTTTCCATTTTAAAGGTATGGTTATTTTGCTCAGATGTGTATTTACTGCTTAAAATTTGGGAGTTTGTTAGTGATTGCTTTGGACTATTAAGGAATATTTTACTAATCACTTGGTTTAGGTTTAATTTGGTGTTAGTGGCCTCAGTGTATCCTTTGGGATGGGAGGAAAAAAAGACAACACTGTAAAAGCAGTTGTAGTCCTAGATTTAAGTTAACATTAGGGTTGGTATGAAAACAGAGAACAAGTTGTGGTCACTTGTTCTCTCCTGACTTTTCATTGTTTTTCTCTAGTGAGTCTGCAACTACTGAGCCAGCAGCTTTGGAAGAGCCTGACAGTAAGAGAAGAAAACTAGAAGAGGAAAGAGCTAAAGCTCCCCTGATGCCTTTTGGGTTAGATCTTCACTACTGGGGACAGGATCAGCCAAGTGCTGGGAAGATTCTCAAGTAAATGCTCTTTCTCTTTTAAGATAGATTAAACAAATACATAGATTTACTTGTACTCAGAGGTCACACAATGGGGTGGCTGCTATTTCTTTTGATAATTACTTTTCTTCTTTCTCTTGTGTTGTGGGACCCATAAACAAAGTCAGAAATTCTACCTTAAAAGGGTATTTGTTTTGAGAAGTTGTGGTACTAATTAAATATCCTTTGATGCTTTAAAGCACATTTTTTCTGCTTTTTTCATGTTTGTGTATTATTTGCAGCATGGCAGCACTTCAGTTTAAATTGGTACCTTATTATGCAAAGTGTTCTGCAGGTCCATAATAGGCAGTCCCTCTGCTGAAGACTTCACAGTCCAAATAAATAACAGGCAGGGTAGGAGAATGACAAGGGTGGTGTGGGGTATTTTTCCTGACTTTACAGAGTGGTAACTGGGGAAACTGATACGCTTGTTCAGTCACACAAGGAGTAAGTGGCAGTTGCAGGATTTGTATTTTGATCTCTCACTTTCCATTCTTGTTTGGGAATGCTCTGTGTTCCTTAGAGATGAAGCACTGCTGGTTTGAGAAAAACTCTAGCAATGCTAGGGGCAGTAGATCGCAGATACGCTTCAGAACTTATTTCTAGCAGTTTGTTTTTAAAGCCCATTTTTAGTACTAGTATTTTTATATGAATATTGGGCTGCAAAGTCTTTCCTTTGTGTATAAATTCAATTTAAGTCCACCAGGAATGTCCTATCAGCTTGTACCGTATTTTGCTTGAAAAGGGCAAAGATCATTGACTAGCTGGCTTGAAGATCAAGCTTGTAAGTTCTCAGCAGTGCTATTTTAACTTAGTTTGTTTCCTTACTAAAGCGAATAAATTAAAAACCCCGTAATCATAATGTAGACTAGAGTAATAATGCTATACATACAAAATGTAAACGGTGCTGCAGTGCAAACCCAAGGGAAATGCCATCATCATCATCATTTCCGCCTTTGGAAACTGAGGAACCCAGGTCCTTCTGCCTGCCAGTGTTTCATGTAACAGTATTCATCTTCACTTTTTAACAATAGCTAGGTGAATGTTCACCCTGTGGAAATCAGCCTAATTTGCTGATTGCTAGTGCCTTTTTAAGATAATACCCTCTCAACTGCATATTTGCTGAGCAAAGGATCAAGAAGAAAGCTTTGCCTCCTGTACTTGATTATAGAAAGTGCTGAATTTATTTTAAATTATTGAAAGTCGGTGAAATTTGATACATAACAGAGCTTTAACAGATACTCCAAGCTTTGGTCTCTGTGTGGTTAGGTGTAACCAGGCTATAAACTGGTTAAGATTTTCAGCAAGGCTTTCAGAAGCGGTTGACTTTGATAATGCCAAAAAGGTAGTAAGGCCTTATTTTACATTGCAAATGAGTTATTCAAGTCATAAGTGAAATGAAAAGCATATTTCACTGCCTGTCTGCCCTGTGCTGTACTGTTTTATTTTTATGCTTCTCAATAAAATAGAGGGCATACTTCTGAACCTTATGGTCTATAACTACAGATATGCCAATCTAACCAAAGATAATTTAAGTAATCCTGCACATACAATACCATTGACCCCTGGATGTAAAACGTTATTTATTGAAAAAGTAAAACAGTCATTGACCAACTCCTTCAACTTTTCTATCTTACAGAGATGCTAAAAAAAAGCCACACCAACAATAGACAACAGTGGAGTGTGTATGGGATTTCAATCTTTTAAATCTGAAGTGGCAGTCTTTCCCCTCCACTTGTTTAACATTACACTTCACAACACCATGTGTGAGAAATTAACATTTTAAAATGTTGGTAGTAAGACTTGCTGTGAAGAAAGATGGCTTTCCTAATCATCTTTAGCTGGTAAATGTAACCATGTGTTACTGTAACCCACAGTTTGAGCTGTACTTTTTTTCCCACTTCAGACTTCACTTGCAACACCTATAAAGTTAGTTTAAGAAATCTTAACAAGATTGTTGTACTGTGTAGAGACTGCTATGCTAGTTAACCTATGCTAGTTAACCAGCAGGTTTTGGAGAAAGCACGTGCCTTCCAGATTGATTTACCACTTCCCTGAGTTACAGATCTTACTTAAGGTGCTTACTCATAGGCTGAAGGCAAATGAGGGCTAGGATACAGCTCACCCTAGCCTGTTTCTGATACTTGAATTAGCTCGTTTACTACTTGCTTGAAGATCTCTCTGTGCATCACACTGCTTTAGAACTGATGTTTACTCAAGGTTTTCTTAGGCTTCCCATTACTAATAAATTTTTTATGAATTTGTGGAAAGAGTGCAACGTTTCCAATAGTTGGATTTTTCTTTCAGAAGTTAACAGGAAGTTAACCTGTTAGCATCACCTTATTCTTTTCTCCACTGTAACGAATGTGGAGAGGAAGTATTTTATATGGTAATAATAGTGTGTTTGAATGTCTGTGTAGGAATCAGTCTTTAAAGTCCAGTTCCAAATACTAATCAGTGCTCTATAGAGCAAAGCATAATTTCAGTTCCCTTCGGATTCGTGGGATATAGATTGTAGCAAGTAGTAAAAATATTAAATAGAATTTTCTCTCGACTGGGAAGGTTGGCACACAACTGTTAACTGCTTCTTCATTATCATGTAACTGTAAGTACACTGGTAGTCCCTCCTTGTGCCTGCATGATAATTAATGCAGAGCTGGTAGTCATCTTGTTTTTAGGACTTCGTTAAAACTGAGTAAGCAAATCAATCTCATTATTTTATTTGTTGTCTGTTGTATAATCTTGTTGCCTTTATGAATTTGAAGTATCATATCATTCAGAAGTATTAATATATTTAAAAGATGCATGTAACTTTTCTGTTCAGTTTGTATTTTGCAGATTGAAAACTTTTTGCAATGAAATATTGTGAAGATGTATCTGTATTACTATGCTTAATGCTGTTCACTAGCCCCCATTGTTACTCTTTTATCTCCTAGTGAAGTGATACATATTTTGTGGCAGGTTAGAATTTTTCTGGCACCGGTGAGGTAGGTGTGATGACAGAATTGTTGGACAGAAGGGATCTCTAAGGATTCTCCTTACTGAACTTTTTTTTTTTTCCTCATGATTTGGCAAACCACAGAACACAGAATGGTTTCAGAATTACTTTTCCTTTCTTAACCGAGCTCTGATCTCATGACATAATTTGAAATGGTGAGCTAGTGCATTAAAAACAACATTCTACGTCTGTTACAGATTGCTTGATTCAGATGAGTTTCTTCCACTTTTTGTTACTTGTCATTTGCTGAAAACTTGCTTAGGTAGAATTCACACTAACTCTTCATCTCCACTAAGATCTTTGTTAAAGTGTTGGCTTGTGTACTTTGCTGATTTCCCATTGCAAAGGGAAATCCAGTTTTCATGTGTATGTCTGCCATCTACAAAAGGCAAAGTCACCAGCAGTAGTATGTACTGTCAGAGGTATAATCACTGCATCCTGAGGCTGACATCTAAAATGAGTCAGTTAATTGCTCTCTGAAGCTGCCTGTCAGCCTAGAGTGACTAGAATGAATTTGGTTAGTACTGTTAAGAAAATTCTAAAATGTTACAGGGTCTCCAGCATTCTTGTTTCTGTTCTCTCCCATTCCCCACATCTATTGACGTGGTACTAACCATATTTGTAGTACAATAAGAAGGAGTATACTTGTCTGTATGTGTTTGTAAACACAGGTAAGACTCATGTTTTAAAATACATTCTCAATGAATTAGATTAGTTCCTAGAGGAACACCCCGTAAGTTTCTCAGTGTTAATAACACTGTTCAGAAGAACAGCCTACTGAACCTAGAAGAATCTCTGATGCTCAGCTGATGGGTCTCAGTGTGTCACAAGATGCTCGTTTCAGCTTCTGCTTCTCTGCAGTTACAGGAGTGCAGCTGCCAGGAATAAGATCAGACAAGTTAAGATCAAGCTGTGTCCTCTCTGATCTGTCTTGTGTGTTCTACTATAGGAATATTATGTTATAAAGAGTATTAACCACAGAATTACAAAGTTGTTCACTGAAACTGCACATTGAGTGACTGCCTCTGAATGGCAAATCACCAGCTAGAGCTAAGACTGGCGAGAGATGAGCTGGTTAAAGAGAAATCAATACTAGACAGGTTTTGGTGATATTTTCAAAACTATCTTCATAATAGGAAGCTACTACTCCTTCTTAAGACTCTAGCTTTTTTTCTAACTCTATGATAAACCTTCCCTCCTTTTACATATAATTTTACTTCAGGATTACGCTGTATCTCTCTGCTTTCTTATACACTGAGCTTATGTTTGATCCAGGTGGCTCAGCATGCTTGGCTGGGAAAGGCACAACTTATCTACAAAGAAATAATTTCTGCATTGTTTTCCCAGATTTACTTCCGAGCATCGATTTTGGGCACCCAGTGAAGTAGAGGAAGAGGTAGAAAATAAAGAAGTAACCGAAATGTTAAACACCAGATATATAACATTTGCTGGCAAGTTTGAACCAGTGAAGCATAAATGTCGAGCACCAATGCCTGATGGAAGTCTGTGTGAAAGACAAGATCGGATTAAGGTGAGCACCAAGTAACCTGATTTCCAGGATATGTGGAAATTACATCCTATATGGAGAGGTTCTCATTAAAACATACCTATAGAAGTTTATTTTGCATTATAAATATAGCACAAGGGATCAAGTGATAGCTACGCTTGGAGAAGTTTGCTGATGATACCTGTTTTTCTTTTGTTAAGGAAGTTGTGCTTGTTCAAAGAACTCTCAAATATTTCTGGCATTCATTTGAAGTATTTATATCGTATTTATTACTCTTACATTGAAGTATTTGACAGTGAAACAGTGAAAGTTGGTTTCTGAAAAGTTCTCCTACTGTAGGGCATATTTGACAGTAGTTTTAGAAGCATGGTTGGTTGGAGGACTAAGAAATTTTATTCACAAATTAAATGTTATGAAAGCTGTACCCTATGCAGCCTCTAATTATGAGCCCTACTAAGCAGAGAGCCTTTATTTACATACCTCATTCTAATATCCCCATTCTTGTATTATCTGACATTGCATTAAGGTACTTTAAATGGGATTGTAACAGGAAAAAGGTATAGCATAAACAGTAAACATGATGCAGCATGAGCACCCTGGTTCCAGGGGTGGTAGGATGTACTCCCTCTTAAGAACGAATACTCATAGCACAGAGATTATTTCTTTGATATTCTGAATGAATTCAACATGTGATGTTAATGGGATCCTGATGCCTTATAACAAGGTGTAGGGTTTTACCACTTGATTCCAGTATCAGGGCATATGCTATACTGAAAAACACGTAAATATATTTTCATTCTAAAGCTGTGAATTTTTTTTCCTTTCTTTCTTAAGTGTCCTTTCCATGGAAAGATAATTCCTCGGGATGAGTGTGGGGTTCCTACCAATGCAGAGGACAGAGCCAGAGAAGAAAAGATGCGCTTTGAGAAGCAAGCAAATCAGCCAGGTTTGTGTGTCCATAGCATCTGGAAAAAATATCAAAATATTAGGTAGAGGTGAAGATAAACTTTGAGAATATGCATGTGTATTTTACAAATGCTTAGAGAGTATAAAATGTTTACAATATCTATAATTTATTTACATTTTACATCAGATTACTTTATTTATAGTATCTACAATTGGACAACAGTCTCAGAACAGTTGGACAAGTGAGGTGCAATGTATGGATGAAAAGCTGATCCTTTCATTGCTGAAGACACAAGTTAAGATACGCAGAGCTGTATCATATTTCCATTTTGCTCCTGGCCACATTCTCTCATATAAATCCCCAAATTTTAATTTGCAGATAATTTGTGATGATTCTTTCTTGTCTCATAAGTATGACTGAATATACACACAGAATAAGGTTAGCTGTGCAATTTGTTCTTTATTTTCAGTGATTCTCATAATGTTCCTAACACTTCTCAGGCAGTAGTATTATATTATTTATCGTGAAGAACATTATATTAAAAACCAGATGCAGTTCTGGAAAGGACATCCTCTAATCATGCTGGTCCCCAAGAGTTTTGATTACTGCAATGTAACAATAATATTATTAGGACTGCTGTGAATATTAGCAAAGTGTTTTTGTTGTCACAATGCAAGAACTTAGTTTTATATCTTTTCGTTGGTATTTTCTTGTTTTACAAGAATTCTTGGCCTTGTTACGTTGCACTCCAAATTAGTGAAGTCCTCACCTAGAACTTTGTCGGCATTTTAATTAGTCTGATAGTAGGTACAATATTTGTATATTACAGTTTACTGTGCCATACTTCATTTTGTTCTTAAACAGCGGGAATAGATAACAAAACTAATGGCTTGATCCTTGTATCCTAGCTGCTGCTTCCAGATAGAATGCTCTAAAGAGAAAGCTCATCATTACCAGGATTATTTTATACCGTTTTTAGCTGAGGTAATGCTCTGAACTGTTAGGTAAGGAACAAAGACAGTGAGAAAGGCAGCAAGCAGTGAATATGCAGGCAGAAAGACTTCCAAGGAGAGTAAGGGACTTGTTTTGTTTTTTTTTTTTTTCCAGTAGTACAACTAAACTTCATTAGCAATAACAGAAGGCAGATTTTCATAGAGTCCTAGGGAGACTGCAACCAGGAAGCAACTGGAAGTTGATGGACTACAAAGGAGGATAGGAGAGAGAGATCTATTCAACAAGATAGCGTATAATTGGAGGGAACAGATTTGCTTTCAAATTTATTTACTTTTTATTTACTCAGCCTTTCCCTTATGAAGAAAGGCTGAATGACTTGGACTTGTCTAGCCTGGGGAAGAAAAGGCTCCAGGGAGACCTCGTTGTGGCCTTTTAGTACTTGAAGGGAGCTTATGAGCAGGAGGGTGACAAACTTTTTACACAGTCCAACAGTGATAGGACAAAGGCAAATGGTTTTAAACTAAAAGAGGAGAAACGTAGATGTTAGGATGTTAGGAAGAAATTCTTTACTCAGAGGTTGTTGAGGCTGTGGCACAAGGTGCCCAGAAAGCTGAGTGCCCCGTCCCTGGAGGCATTCAAGGCCGGGTTGGATGGGGCCCTGGGCAGTCTGATCTGGTGACTGGCAACCAGTCTATGACAGGGATTGGAACTCAGTGATCTTTAAAGTCCTTCCGACCTAAGTCATTCTGTGACTGCTACTGAGCCTTTCACCAAGTCTCTGGTGTGGGTGAGGAAGTGCCCTGTTCACAGGCAGTTCCATCCTTGTCTGGGTAGAGAGAAGTGCTCTAAGCTGACCTCCAACCAGCAGCACAGGAAATGGGCTGACATAGTGAAGTCAGGCCAGAGATGTAAATGTTGTGCTTGAAAAATGAAGTTCCATGCTTAGTTGTGACAAACTAAAACCAGCAACTTAAGCTAGTAGGTGTTTGTGAGGGACTAGTTTCAAACTGGAAGCTAATACTCTGATAGAAAAATCACTTGTGCTGAAAAATATTGATTTCTTTTTTTTATTCTGTGGAATTGCCATTGCTCTAGGCTAGACATAATACTTATTTTTATTACAGTGTCAGCGCAGTGTTGTTAGAGGCTTCTCACCTCTGGCCCACAAGGATGTATATGTTAGTCCCAAAACACTGTTGACATTGCGATGTTGCATTATTGAGTGCCATTGTTAAGCTGAGATGTCACACAAAGGTCCGTCCTGTCTGTCTGGGGAGATACTGGGCAAGCTCAACTGCTTAATTTATTGGACAAAACCTTAAAGGTTTCTAAAGCTTTTATATACCAAATGTCACTAAATGCTTTTATCCACTGCTTATTATTTCTTTCTTTTTTTTTTTTTCCTGTGCCTCAGAATTTTCATTAGCCTTTAGAAATGCTTTTTTTGGTTGGTTGGTTTGGGTTTCTGGTTTTGGAAGTCGGGGGGGAGGTTGCTTGGGTTTGGGTTATTTTTGCTTTTTTGTTTGGTTTGGTTTGCTTTGCTTTGCTTTTTTGCGTCATGTCTGAGCAGTGCTGCTCTGGAATATGCAAAGTAGAAATCCACCATAAGTGCTTTGGTCTTATGACTGACAGCATCATTTCCTAATGGTGACAGCTGGAAAAATGCCAAACATTAAAGCTGAGATATTGGTTGCATTATTAAATTCTACCAAAATCTTCCTACATCTTTTTCTTTTTGGATGGCAGTGGTTCTTTTCATCCTTGAGTGGTTGAAGAGGAAAACAATTACACAGAAATGACACAGTTTGTGTAATAATGACTGTGTTTTGACAACATTATCGTTGATATTATATATCATTTTTAAAATGAGTACAAATTTTGTAATTCTAACTAATGTCCACAAAACGGTGCTTTGGGCTCTTTGGTCCTCAAACAATGAATCAGGAGGGATTACACTGACCTGCTAATCTGTAGTGTTCATCCTCTTCCAATAGTTCGCACACAGGAGCAAATTAAGTGCCTATTTTTTGTGTCAAGCCTGCAGAGTATCTGGTTTTTCAGCCCTTAGTGACTTGTTAACAAACAGGTATCAGGACAGGCTGGTGAAGGCAGGCCGCTGGCCAGTCAGATGTGAAATAGCATCTCTTTACTAACTACAGTATTGATTCCCGCCTACCCCTGCAAACTGTGTAATTTTCTTTTCCCTGCTGCTAAACTCAGTAACAATGTATGAAGAGCTTTAGGGGCCCATCAATGCTCAAAAAGGCTGCTCTTCCCTGGCATTCTATTGATTTTTCTCAAAGGCTTTTAAATTGCTCCTTCATTTTACTCAAACGCTCATTTCATCTCTACTGGATGCCGGCATTTTTTCGTTGTGTTTAAACAATTGCTCCATTCACTGGGTTCCTAAACTGTGACGCCTTCTTATTACTGGGAGATAAACTGTTTAGACAGTTTTCCTTAATCTTGGATTAATCGTTCCTGTATCTGAATTGTACTGTTCTGTATTCATTCAGTTCAAAAAAAAAAAAAAAAAAAAAAGCCACTGAAGAAACCCATCTCTTAAGTCTTATGATCTATCGAGTATACAGGTCCTATTTTCTCCCTCTGTGATTCTCCTGCCAAGTTCTACACGGCTCCATTTTCCTCATGCTTTTTTTGTTGCTGTTGTTGGATTTTAACCTCTTTGCTTTTGCATATCGTACCAATAGGTTTGATCTAACCAATCTAACGCTGGCAAATAACTTTAGCAAATAGCTCTGGGATTCCTAAGCACTGCATTCTGAAGTACCTCTGGCCTTCTCAAACTGTTAGCAGTATTTGTCATGTTTTGTACATAAGTGAAATTGTCATTTAGAGCTCTACATTTTCCCAAAGATGTTAAATGAGAGTAGAAGTTTGGTGTTACAGTTTCTACAGTTTCTGCTGACTTACTTGAATCTATATGACAAATGGCTGGTTATTAAAACAAGGAATTTTGACTTTCGTGCTGTGTGGGTAACATTACTCTCAAACTAAATGCTCAACATGTTTATAAAGTGGTGCCATTTTCTTGAGTTTACATAGATATCTCCAGGTAGAAAAACAGACTGTCCTGTGGCCACATGTTTACTTACTGCTGCTTTTATCTTTCATTCTTGTACTGGTGTGCAAAACTGTGCTAATGATGAAAGATAAGTGCTTCCTCTAATTTACAGTCTAATTCATTTATGCTTATTCCCATGGTGACTACTGTGCTCAGAATTCACTTAGTGGGGTTGGATTCTGAAGCATTAAGGATTTTATAGAACTGTAAAACAAGTTTTTGAAGAAAGATGTTCACATGGGCTATTGTCAAGAAACCTGATTTAAATAATGAATCTGATGCAGCGTGGTATAGTTACAAAGAGTGACCCTTTCAGATGCAAAATTGGGCTTATGGCAACAAGGTCATGTCTTATTCAAGAATTACATGTCAGATGCCAGTTACATTTTGAAGCAAATAAAATCAAATGCAGAAATGTTACAATATTGCTATTTTATAATATTTTATATGGGTAGTTACCTGTTATTCTCTAAAATTGACAAACTCCATATTTTTCATTTTTAAGCTTTTTTTTCAGAATTTATTCCTGAAAATAAGTTCCACAGCTACATTGTTGGCACTTTGTTCAGTTCCTAAAAAATGATTGCTGTGTTTATGTCAGCTCTCCTGCATGGAGTATTTTCCTTGGAACTGTGTTGCTGTAAAAGTCTTCATACAGAACAGTTTTATCTACAGCAGGTAATAATAGATACTGATCCCAGACTGGCAGGGCTTTTTTATCAAGGTCTGTGGTTTTGACTAACTGCTTTATCCTCCTCTCCCTTTATGTACACAACTTAAAGCACTGACTCTGCCCTTGCCTAGGGGCGACAAGAACCTTTACTTTAGGTAAGGCTGCAAATTCTGCTTAGGCTTGAATTTTCAAAGTGCCTGGTTTTTCTTATGAACAGAGTGGCGGGATCCAGAATTCATGAGAGAAGTCGAAGCAGCCACGGGAGTGGATCTTGGTTCCTCTAAAAATAATGGGAGAGGAGGAAAAAAGAAAGGGAAGAAGAAATACCCAAATCTGACAGACCTGAAGCAGCAGGCTAACACTGCTCGTTCCCGGCTTGAGAAGATAGTCTTCAATAAGTAAGATACTTATGTTTTCTAAAGCTTGCTAAATTATTGTTTCCCTTTATTTTAGTGGTATTTTTGTTTCTACACAATAAACAGCTTCCTCTGCCAGTGGAAGAGCACAAATGCCTTTTGTGCTGCTGGAGAGTAAAAACCAGGTGACAGAGGTTATTTCTTAGAGTGTGATTTGCAGCTAATTTATAAAATTTTCCTATTATTTTTATCATCATTTTCATCTATTTTAGCCTGTAATTGTTGTAGTGTCTTCTTTTGGATGGACATTTGTTAATGGATGGATGGATGCTACTGCATGCATACAGAAAGCATTGGATGTGGAAAGAGTGACACAATTTACAAACCAGACACACTGTAGTAGCATAGATGAAGTGAGAACAAAGCTTTTTTTTTTCTTCTTGAAAGCCTGGAATGGGTTGTCCTAAGCAGAACTGTAATAAAAGTGTGGGTCTGAAATCTTGGCTTTTCCCATGTGGTTGCCCTCAAGCTTTTCAGAGACCTCCACAAACTTTCCTGAACTTTGTCCTGTGTGTCTTCTCTTGCTCTCGTGTGTATTAAATTTGTAGCTCAGTCTGTGCAATGCTTCCCAGTACAGTGCACACACAGCAATTCTTTGTCTGTATTATTCACAGAGATACTGCTAATGCATTTTCTTCTCCTTTACTGAGAACACAGTCAAGAAAAAATATTCAGATCCTTGTGGTACAGTGTTGCTCACATCATGGCACTGTCAGTACTTCTCCCTTTCTGCTCTGCACAAGTGCAAACAGTGGAAAATACTTGGATTGAAAAGCAGCAAATACTCAGAAATGTTAAGAACCTAACATAATCATAACTTCCACATGTTGAAGGCTAGGCACTAAAGCACATGATTATTTATGCGCCCTCACCCTTATTTTCAAAAATGCAACCAATAGCTATTTATTTGCAAGAAAGCTCGGCTTCCCTGAGGTAACCATTCAAGGGATAGATTGAATATTCTAACACTTTGCCCTTGACATTCACACAACTTGCTGGCTCAAGGTAAATGGAGTTTTGAAACTCACGTAGTTTGTAAGTAGCATGATTCCACTGAAGGAAGGATATTACAGAAAAGCAGTCAAGTAGCACAGGGCTGCTACTCCAAGCGTGGCACCAAAGTGGTTTGTAGGATGTCTTCCTCTCCCAAAACAGGTTTGTGAATGTGATGCTTAAATTCTAACAAGTCTCAGTGTTGAAATTCAAGACATTGTCAGTTAACTCTGTACCTCCAGACCTACAGCAGTAAAAACATGAACCTGCGTTGCTGAAATGCTTCAAGCTACTGTTATTTAGGGACCACTAATTAATTCGGATAACTCCAGTAACTGCAGGAAACATGGGCCTTGTAGAAATGTGTTTGCTTAATTTTATGACTCTACAGATGGAACTACTTTTTTTTTTATCATTCTGAAACAATTTACTTCTGGAAAATACCCCATGCTATCCCCATGGACGCCCTTTGGCATTTAAACATTTTTGGCAAAGATGTGTTCATGACTTACATAGGCATTCATGAGAAAAAAAATTGAAGCAGGCTGGCTCAGATGCAAGTGGGAGTCCACAACCCTCCTACAAGCTGAATAGGTTTTAGAATATTTAGTAGCACCATAGGCCAGCTCCCCTGCACTGTTTCTTGTGTGTAGTCTTGGTTAGGTCTGTTTGCAACAAAAACTTGTCTGAGCATGCTCTGGTCTTCATCAGAAGGGAAGCAGGTGCAATTACTTAAAGTTGTTAAAACTGAAGTAGTCAAAGCAAAGTGAATAGAGGAAGGTTGTTAAGTCAAAAAAGCAAAAATATTAAATCATTAGTGACTATTCCCTAAATATATTGTACGACTTGAACAGCATCCAAGATATTTGTTTGAATTCAATTTTCCCTTTTATGATGCAGTAGGTATAACGGCTAAATCCATGTTGATTTCAATTACAAAGTAGATCCTTTCTGTGACAGTTTCATGTTACTTGATCTTAAAGTCGAAAACCATGCTGTTGTAATAATATGAATTTGATATCAGCTTTAATGAAATAAATTTCAAAAGCTGTTTTTGGTTTACTCTGCTCTGTGCTAATGATTATGAGTGTGTGGTAGTGCCAGGTATAGGGAATCAAACCTGTCATGTTTTAATAGGTTTCATGCTTTGCAGCACTAAACAAGATGATAACCTTGACTCCTTATAACAACCCCAAATTACTTGAAATGTATAGGTGATAAACCAAGGCTCTCATCTGCCAATAAAGTTAAGTGAAATTGCACAGAGATCATCAAAGTGGGATCTCATTTCATTTACAGTATCACACAATCCAGGGGTGCTAATGTAAAAACTACATGACATGAAAGTGGCAAGGCCACTCGCCACTGCTAAAGGCTCACTTTTCTCCTACCAATTAGGCAATATTTGAAGAGCAAAACCATGACCACATTTTCTCTACTCTGTTAACTTTATTGGCAGAATTTTGTTAAAAGAAACCCACTTTCAAGTTTGGTTTTTTTTTTCAGAATGCTAGCTTTGATTACAGTTGCTGCTGAGAAAATCTTTAATCCTGCTATTTAGAACCACTATTGAGAGGTATCCTCTGTTTTCAGATGTTTCAAAATAGCTTTTAAAGTTAAACCATTAAAGGGAACAGTTAGTTACAACAAAAGTCAGATTGCCTCAGAGGTAACCAGGGGAGCAGAGCTGTAGTAGTGTGTAGACCTGATCCTGAGAAGAGTCACATCACCTGGTGGATGCCTTTTTCTCATTCTACCAGCCACCCTGCAGCATCTGCAGAGAAAGGCAGACTGCAGTAGTGTGGAGGTTAACAGACTCGAAACCATCCGCTTTGAGTGAAGGAACAGGCAGACTGTATTTCTAGAGTATAAATGGAGACATCAGTCAGTGCCACATCCTTAAACTGGATGGAGTCCCTCAGACGAAGCCCTTAGCTGATGTACCTTTCTGAGCAGCAGAACACTGAGATCTTTCCAGAGGAGTGGCAGATGACTTCCTTTCCCAGAAACAGTGGCAGTGTGATGACATACCTGCAATCAGTCTCAGCTGTTTGAGCATTTCTGCTAGAAGCACCCAAAGTAACTAATAAAAATTGGCAGTCTGGAGTCCACTGAAGAATAAAATACCTTGGGCATCCCCTACTTAGCTGTGCACTGTACCTTTCAAAGGTTTTTGTAGAGACAGATACACACACAGCATTCTCTTGATTGCTACTGCTGCCTTCCCAACTAAAGCTCTGCAATGTTAATTTCTCTCTGCATATGACATTCTCTCTGCTGTTTCCTTCAAATCGTGTTGTGCTCACAGATGAAACAGTTGTTGCTCAGCAGTAAGGAGGCTGATGGTCTAAGAGGTTCTAACTCTTCATACAGCTGATAAAACTGATTTTTAGGAACGTTGGAAGGAAGTTGCTAAATAAGTTACAGTTAAACTTTCCCTTATGAAAACATTCTAGATTTTGGAGGTTATATTTGGTAGGTGTTTCTGAGTATTAGTTTAGTTTTTTCATCCTGGTAGGTATTTTTAGTTGTGTTGTTTTTTTTTTTTTTTTTTTTTAACCTGTAGAAAGGATAGATGCTTTTGCAAATCAAGTTTACATATGACTATCAGAAAATAGCACTAAGAAGATAGAATAGACAGCTATTAAACTGAAAAGCTTTAGATTGGTTTACTCCTGCTAATAAAATCATTGCTGAATTAAACTATTTGTATTGCTACAGCTAATTTGGTTAACAAGACTGTGTTCAACTCCAGTGCAGCATTCACAGGCCTGATGGCAATTTATCTTCGTTCATTTTTCCCTCAACATTTATAAGTAATCTGAGATTCCATAGAATCAATACAGGAGCCTTTATATATTTTTTGTTTCTCTTGCAGAGGTGCTGTCAAACGAGTGGTGAAAGCAATGAATCAGATGGACCAAAGAAAGCATGAGAAGTTTGCCAACCAGTTTAACTACGCACTGAATTAAGTTGTAGCAAAATGCAAAGGTGAACAAAAGTGCAACTGTACAAAGCTTTAGCGCAGGCCTCCATGTTTGAAATACTGTGCTGTGTGAATTTTTACTGGGATTACTTTTTAAAGTGTTTTTAATTTCTAATTTATTTTACAATTAACACGAATTTTGGCGAAGATGTGATAGTACATAATGGACTTAATACACTTAGTGATAAGTATTGGAAATTTACCTGAAATAGAACTTATTTATGACTTCTGCATACTCTGAGTAAGATGTTCAGGGCCTTTTTGCCTTCCTAAGGGACCAGTATCATTTACACATTGTTTGCCAGCACAGTTGTGGTTTGCCTTGACTTTCATACCTTCAGAAAGATGCCTTAGAAACAGTTTGATTTTCACTTGAGGTGGTAACATGCAGGCTATTTTCTCAGCCTTACATTCTAGAAAGACTACTACATCAAGCAGCCCCCTGGCTCCAGCACCTCTGAAGGCTACTTGCATGTGAACTGGAAAAAGCCAAACACATTCATGATCAGAAGACAACAATTTGATTTCAGCAGGTTTACAAGCCATTTCAAACTCAGCAGCTGTGGCATCAGTGTATAAGCTGAAATTAAGTTGGTCTTGATCTCCTTCTTGACTTCCCACTAACTTTCTGAAATGAGTTTGGAAAGCATGTTATGATAAGTTGTGGAGATATAGTTAAAATGTGCTGGAGTTTAAGAGGTGCCAAAAAAGCTGCATTACAAAGAGGTTTTTTAAGAAAATTACTCAGGTGGCTTACTGAGTAAGTGAACTGCCTGACTTCAATCAGTTAAAAAAACAAAACAAGAAAACAGTTACATTAGTTTCAATCCTAGGAGTGCATGTAGGGACCTAAATACACACAAACACCTGAATGCTTTTAACACATTGGATCCAGGTGCTTGGTGTCTGTGGGGCTTATTATTGACAGTGTTTAGTTCAATCTCTCCTAACTGCTTTGCTGGCTATCATCATCATGTCAGAAGTAGAATTAAATGAAATAAACATTGACTGATTGTGCTCCTGTGGGGTTTCAGACAGCTTTATCAGTGAAGGAAGTTGGGAGTATCAAGGAAGATAGTGTTTGAACTGAATTTCAGAACGAAAGTAGAAGTCTTCAGTAAAACACAGAACACAAGTTAGAATGGATTCTCTACAGCACCAGTGTAGTTACTCACCTGCTTGAGATACTTCCTAGTACAGCAAGAGACTCCCTAGGAATTTAAAATGGAATCCTGTGTAGGTTTTGACCACCTGAGACAAGAGCTGATTTACAGCTCTGCCATGTATCTGTTGACTTGCACAAGTACTGCTAAGAAAGCAAGCAGTGATTATTTAATCTTCCAGATCTTTGCAGTTTGGAAGACTTTTTTCTCTCCAACACATATTTAGAATACTTCTACACTATGACAAATAATAAACAGCAGCTGTTAAAGCAAGAATTTCTTAGTTATTTACTGCACTGGAAACCAAAGCTGTGTGTACTGGCCATCTAGCTAACAGCGAAGGCTGCAGCTGAAAGCACAGGCTAGGATGGTACTCATCACCAGATCAGCTGAATCAACTGATCAACTGGTTTTATTTATTGGCAAAAACAAAAAAACAAAAAACAGCAGAGCTCACATACTTGAATGCAGTGTAGCTCAATGAACACCGATATTACAAAATAGTCCATATGAAAGTTCTTGGTCTTGGAGATATTAATATTTATGAGAATAGTTCCATTGTTGGAGACTTTTGAGCCTGCACTGACTGAAGGTCTTCATTTGTGTAGGTGCGTTTCTTCTGATCTCTGTAAAAAAAAGGGGAGAAAAGGTGACACGCAACCTTTTGACACGAAGTATCAGCACAAGCAAGCTTCTGGGAAACAGTGGGCGTACTTCAGCTCATAGAGTTTCCACTTCGAGTTTTCAGTAAAACAAAAAGCTCTCATGACCAAGATTAGAAAAAGGAATGGTTTAAAGCTGTGAGAAAATAAGCCAAGCAAATTATACTCATCTACAATGCTTCTTAAGAGCCATATGAGTTCTGAATTATCAGCTGAAACTTCTTTATTCTTCTTTTGAGGCAAGGATTTTGTTCTTCAGTTAGTGACAAGGATTTCTACACCCACTTGTGTATGAAGTGTTTCTTCGTGTTTTGGCCTTGAAGCAGGAGAGACAGCTGGCTACTCAGAAATGCACATCAAATGCACTGCCTCCTTAACTCTATGTTAGCCTGACCTTTGTACCATTAAGGATCTTCCCTTCATCCATAGTGTTTGAAGAAACACATGCTTCCCCTCCCATGTTAATTATTGCCTCATTTACTCAAAGGCTTTGCCAAGTTTCACTTTTAGGAGTATACATACAACAGATTTTGCCTTTGTAAACATCCTCATTAGAACTGGTCAGACATAATTCAGCGAAATTTAAGAGCTTTCTCCTTTTTCTGGGTTCATCTGTGGCTCTGATGGAGGAAAAAAAAATAAAGACATCTATCACCAGTGATATCAGAAAGCAAGAACTTCTCCATGCTTATTCTTAGTAGAGCATGATTGCATCTGGCAAGTAAAAACTCAAAAGGAAGAAGCTAGCATGCATAAATTTGGTGCTGATGAAGGTGGGAATGAAGGCGCTGACCTCTAATAGAGAGCACAGTGACAAACAGGTTTGGTATGAAGTTTGAGCAAAATCATAGAATCATAGAATCACCAAGGTTGGAAAAGACCTAAAAGATCACCCAGTCCAACCGTTCACCTATTCCCAACAGCTCCCACTAAACCATGTCCCTCAACACAACATCCAGTCTTTCCTTGAACACCCCTAGGGTCGGTGATTCCACCACCTCCCTGGGCAGTCCGTTCCAGTGCCTGACCACCCTTTCTGAAAAGTAATACTTCCTCACGTCCAGCCTGAATCTCCCCTGCCGTAGCTTGAAGCCATTCCCCCTGGTCCTATCACTAATGACACGAGAGAAGAGGCCGACCCCCAGCTCACTACAACCTCCCTTCAGGAAGTTATAGAGAGCAATGAGGTCTCCCCTGAGCCTCCTCTTCTCCAGGCTGAACATTCCCAGCTCCTTCAGCCTCTCCTCATCAGCCCTGTGTTCCAGACCCCTCACCAGCTTTGTTGCCCTCCTTTGAACACGTTCCAGGGCCTCAATATCTTTCTTGCAGTGAGGGGCCCAAAACTGGACACAGTACTCGAGGTGCGGCCTCACCAGTGCTGAATACAGGGGAACAATCACCTCTCTGCTCCTGCTTGCAACACTGTTTCTGATGCAGGCCAGGATGCCATTGGCCTTCTTGGCCACCTGGGCACACTGTCGGCTCATATTCAGCCGAGCATCAATCAATACCCCCAGGTCCATTTCCTCTACACAGTCCTCCAGCCACACCGCCCCAAGCCTGTAGCGTCGCGTGGGGTTGTTGTGGCCGAAGTGCAGGACCTGGCATTTGGCCTTGTTGAAACTCATCCTATTGGCTTAAGCCCAGCTCTCCAGCCTATCCAGGTCCCTCTGTAGGGCCTCGCTACCCCCAGGCAGATCCACACTTCCAGCCAATTTGGTGTCATCTGCAAACTTACTGAGGGTGCACTCGATGCCCTCATCGAGGTCATCAATAAAGATATTGAAGAGGACAGGCCCCAGCACCGACCCCTGGGGAACACCACTCACGACCGGTCGCCAGCTGGATTTGACTCCATTTACCACCACTCTCTGTGCCCGGCCCTCCAACCAGCTCCTTACCCAGAACACATCTAAAATAAGAGCACATCTCTCTGAAGTTACTGATACAGAATGATGGGGCCATGCTCACCTCTTACATGATAACTTCCAGTTTTATTATCAAAACTTACTTCAGGATTTGCTGAAAAATTCTATTAGAAAAGTGTAACCCTTAAATGCTCTTAAATTGTGTATACTTAAATAAGAAAAACACAGGATTTGGTTCTGCATGGACAATGTATCATACTGTGTAAAACAATCTGTAGGTTGGTGACAGCTGTATGTTCAAGATGACATTAAGGAAAACAAAAGAAAATTACAAAAAAAAAGTTCAAATTAAAGCACTGTTAAAGTGGCCGATAAGGTTGTTCCTTATTATAAAGAGCTGCTAGCCAGAGACAAGAAATGCTGAATCTCAGGAACCTAGCAAACAAAAGCCTAATTTAGCATGCAGTGGAGTAGTTCAACAGCAGAGATAGCCATCTGATGGTGTTTCATACCCATGAAAATACTTCACTGTTCATGGCTCATCCAGTGCTATTAATTAATGATTGTAATCATGGAGATAGAAACGTCCTCATAGAGTACACATCAGAGAAGGTAAGAAGATCTGGATGTTTTGGCAGCACTTAGGTGATGAAAATGAGTCATTAAAGCCATGCCTTTTGAAATGATACTACCATGCTGAAAAATACCACGCCATTACAGGATAATCTGAATGCCAATAACACAGAAATGAACCATCTGCAAATTGTCCCAGAGGATGTCCAGGTGCCTAAGCCTAGAAACACAGCCAAAACACTGCTGAAAGTTGGACTCAAGGTCTGACCTGCTGTGGGTGTCACTGGACTTCAGATCTAGGCCAGAGTTCTGGTTTAAACCTAGCAAGACTAAGGGAAAAGAAAAAAAGAAAAGATGAGCATTTAGGAAGGTTTGATCTGACGTGCATTTTCACAGCAACCAAACACATACCTTAATATTTGTTTTTAAAGAGGCAGTGGGAATCATACACTTGAAAGCTAAAGTGCTGGAGCACACATCCAGGAGACAGTTCCCATCACTCATGCTCCTATGGGAGCTGAAACTCAACCCAATGGAGCAAAATATGCCTTGCATAGGAGACCAGCCAGAAGGAAAAAATAAAAAATTGAGCCTTCTAGACTTAACCACAGTCCCTGTGCTGGGGCTGGATCCTCATCCCCATCCCTACACACCTGCCCATGAAAAATACTGCTAAGCATCTTAGATTCAGGCAAGAGTTTGCTCTCAGTGATAGTGGTCACTGGCTAGAAGATCAGCCCTAAGGGCTTTGTGAGAAAGGTATTACTGTGACAACTACTGGAAAGCAATTTCTCCGTGTTGGTTTTAAGACATTTGAAGAAAGTAATTAACAGTGTCTTGGAGGACAAAACAACTTCATGTGTTTGGAAGCCTGAAGGGGTGTCCTTCACTACGTGCTGCCCTGAGGACAACACTTTAGAGCTAACGGTGCACAGCAATATCCATATTGGAAGTTGAGAAGCATTGGATAGGATAGGTCTAGGCATCAGGGAGAGGTAAACCAGAAGCAGAAGGCAACAAGGCAGAAAGAGCAGGGTCCTTCATGACAGTAACCAAAACCAGTCAACACCTAGAGCTTACCTGACAGTTCATCATGATAAAAGGCAGGTCTGGTGTCAAGTCAGCTAGGGACGCAGCAGGTAAGGTACAAAGCCAAGCACAGAACAGCTCAGCTCAGCAAAAGGACTTTACCAAAGCATAGCTTCTCCACAAACTGAAGGATGGAGACTTCACAGAATCTTCTGAGTTGAAAGGGACCTTTAAAGGTCATCTAGTCCAACTCCCCCACAGTAAATAGGGGCACCTACAGCAAGATCAGGTTAATCATAGAATGGTCTGGGTTGAAAAGGACTACAATGATCAAGTTTCAACCCCCTGCTGTGTACAGGGTCACCAACCATCAGACCAGGCTGCCCAGAGCCATATTCAGCCTGGCCTTGAATGATGGGGCATCCACAGCCTCTGTGCAACCTGTTCCAGTGCATCACCACCTTCTGTGTGAAAAACTTCCTTCTCTCAGAGCCTGGTCCAGCCTAACCTTGAATATCTCCAAGAATGGTGCTTCCACCACCTCTCTAGGCAAACTGTTCTTTCTTACATCTCTTCCAGTTCAGCTGATTTCATGGCAGTCACACCCAAGGTCATGCAGCTGTGCCATATCAGTATTGCAAGTCAACACCTGGCAGGTGGTGGGATGAGGCTGCTGATGAGAATTACTGACAAAGATGGCTAAATGGAGAAAATAGAGCCTCTTGTTACATTCAGAGCACTTGGAGCATCCTTGAATGTGACTATGGTCCTTTCTATTACAAAATCCTCTATAGATGTTGGAGGACTTAAGGAAGAATGTAGAAAGCACCATAAGCAAAGTGCTTTGAGCAGCAGCCTTGATCAGGAACAGCCTGGACCCTCTCCATCCAGCAACACTGATGACTCCTTCAGCTGAAATTGATGCTAGAGATCCCCAAACACATCCCCTAGAAAATACGTGTAGATGGGCCTGTCTAGCACATGAGCAAATTATGACCTACGGGAAAAGATTATTCCTGTTCTAGCTTCAGGTGCTGTTTCTGAAGGAAAAGAAGGAGATAAAGTTAGTAATTACTCAGGTTTCTGAGTTGATGCTTTCTCTCCTCTTCCTTCAAAACAGATCAAGTGGAGAATTAAATTCTCAACAGTACTCCTGTTGAACCTTTCCTGCAAGCTCAGCTGTTGCTGATGATGGTACTTCAATGCCTGATCCTAAGCTGCTGCAGCAGAAACTCCTCCCTGAGCTAGCAGACCTATAATACCAGCATTAATATGTGAAATATATTTTTTTTTAATTTAAGCTCAGCCTTGTTCTTTCCAAGTGCAGTAGACGTGCCTTTGCTTATCTGCCTGTTACTGCCCTGAGCAAAACCCCAGCTACAAAGTGCTCATTACACTTTTACATTAACAGCAGGAGTCACTTTTGTCAAGGGGTTAAGGAAAAAGATTGTTAAAATTGTTTAAATACGGTACTAATTAGTTTAGATGTAATGAAACAGCATTAGGCATCCGGTTTCTTTGCAAGGGATTGTTGGATAACCATTTCTGTCGACGCTGCAATTTGCATAATGACAAGGTGTTGGCATTGCATCCACCATTAATTTGCTATATTTATAATGCCATTATGGATCCACTCTTATTCACACACACTATAAAAGATATATCGAAACATAATACACAATTCTGCTTGTTTGGAAATTGCTTTGGATATCTTTGATTTTCTGTAATAGCATTTTTGTCACTTGAATGCTAACAGCACCAGGAGGAGATTTGCCACACACAGTTCTGAGCCCTGAAATTCAATATTGCTTCCAAGTTGGCATGAGCCTTTATTTTCCTGAATCCTGAAGAAGGGGAAAGTGAAAGCATGATCAGGAATGCTCAAAGCAAATGCAGTATTTCATCCAAACACTTAACTACAAGGTGCATTAAGTCCTTTAAGTTCCAAACATTCTTAAAACATTACCAAATCTTCAATAGATCTTAGCTAGGGCAGTTTGCTATTAGCACTGTTCATCAACAACCAGTTGCAAAGCTATACCAGCAGCCCATCAAAATGCTCCTGTGCTTTTCTTCCCCTATGCAGTCCCTAGGGATCAACTCAGAAGAAATAAAGCTTGTCACCCTACGTATGGTAAGGTGGAAGGATGGGGAAGAGTCTCTCTGAGCTCAGCTGTGCAGGACAGGCTCTTCCACTGTGTGTTATAGAATCACAGAATGTCCTGGGTTCAAAAGGACCACAACGATCACCCAGTTCCAACCCCCTGCTATGTGCAGGGTCACCAGCAGACCAGGCTGCCCAGAGCCACATCCAGCCTGGCCTTGGATGCCTCCAGGGATGGGGCATCCACAGCCTCCTTGGGCAACCTGTTCCAGTGTGTCATCAGC